AGAGAGAGAGAATTTTTAATATTTATTTTTTAGTTCTCGGCGGACACAACATCTTTGTTGGTATGTGGTGCTGAGGATCGAACCCGGGCCGCACGCATGCCAGGCGAGCGCGCTACCGCTGAGCCACATCTCCAGCCCTTAAACTTAGTTTTTAAAAAAATCTTTATCATGGTAATATAGAACTCAGGATCTGGGGTGTAGCTTAGTGATAATGTGTTTTCAGCACACATGAGGTCCAATGTTCAATCCCTAGCACCAAAAGAGTACATAAATAAATCAAAATACACACATATATACACCCTTCATAGGCCTCATAAATATAAAAAGAGTATATGTGAAGTGTATGGCATGTGACATAAAAGGCACTCAATTAATGTTTCACTTTTCTCTGTGCCACTATTATCACATTTTATGTCATATACAAAAAGAAGAAATTTTGCAAGCCACACATCTAGTGAATAGATCTTGAGACCATTTGCAATGCAGCAGACTAAGAGGGAAGTGGCATTGTTGCTTTGAACTTCTATCTTTTCTAAAGTTAGTTCATCCATTTCTTAAGTGCCAACTAATATTGTCAGATAATTTGAAAATTTAGATCTTAATGTCTTGGGATGCCAACTTTGAATGTGTGACCAACAACTGGAGAGAGAGGAGCCAGATGAAGGCTGTAGTAGAAAAAAATGAATAAGGCTTATGTGATCATCCTAGCCCCAGCAGTTGTCTTTCAAAGTCTAAGCAACATATCACTTCTCCTTTGCTTCCCAGAGGGCAGAGGGGGAAGGCATTTGTCTTAATATACAGATATATCTTTTTGTTCAAAAAAATTTTTTTTCAGCCAGGCATGATGTAATCCCAGTAATCCCAGTGACTCTGAAGGCTGAGGCAGAAGGATTGCAAGGTCARTGTAGTGACCTTGGGCAATGTAGTAAAACCCTGTATCAAAATAAAAAGGGCTGGTGATGTATCCTGGTGACAGAATGCTTGCCTAGCATATTGAATGAATGAATGAATGAATGAATGAATAGAAATTTTTGTTGTTGTTCATCTTGCTTTGTCTGTCTCTCCAGCTGCTGTTCCATCCCTAACGCATCTTTGTCGTTTGAAAATTCGGTCCAGCCTAAAGCCAGAGCACCTCCTCTCTGACAGTTTTATCCAGCAGCTGCCACTTCCCAGAAGCCTGCACAGCTATTTGCTCTATGAAGAGGTTCTGAGGATGAATGAGATTCCAGAACTGGAGTCACTCATGATGGAGAAGTGAGTGAAGCAACWTAACACAGCTCATTGAAAACCATCAAGACAAAAGAGCTGTGGAATGCAAAAGTGTTCATGATTTTATTTCACAAAAGATGATGTTTGTTTGTGTGGTTGGATAGGTTTTGGGAACAGTAGTAAATAAATGTGAATGTTTACAAGTGGGCTCAGTAAAAACATATTATAAACATCACTGATGCTACTTTATTGCAGTTCATCACCAGAGCACACTTTGTGTTGTAAAACCTAAGCATTTTCTGCTTTATTCTGCTAATGAACTGTGATGCTGCTTCTAGTGCTAGACATGGCATATTTCTACCTATGATTCATGTTTACCTGGTGCTAGGAGCTAAGAATGGAATGTATAACACTTCACTTGAAGTGTATACAACTGTGGTTTTGAATCTGTTATTATTTATTGTTGTTATTATTTTAGTTGGGGCTGAATATCTTATGTTTATTAAAGTTTTTCTATCTTGTCACATTGCATTCTCATCTCTTAAGCCCGTCACATTTATGAAGAATTGATATTCATTGCCTTTTCACATATAAACTCAGGGAGAAAATTTGTTTTAAAGGAAATCAATCATATTGCTATTCTCCCCTCAAGACATGCTCATTTTTTTTTTAAATTAGGTTAGATTAGGGATAAATGAGCATATTACTGTATTTAGAACATTAATGAGACTGAGAGGGACATTTATGTAGTACCATCTTTAAAGAAAGGYGTGTATTTTTGAGTAAATTAATATCAAATATAATATTTACATTGCATTCAGCCCCATAATCAAAGGGCAGCTTTGTTCCTATGAAACAGTAATAGCTGGTTCTATTAATATTATAGTATCTTTTCCTTCTTATCTAGATAGATTATTAAACATCCATGAAATAAAGACCTCAGAATCCTAGGTTAATGAGGTGTCATCACCTCATAGGCTTTTATAGTTGCTTACTTGAAATCTAGAGTCAAGAGGAAATAAACGTAGGACCAAGTGCTTGTCAGAAGAGGCCGTGGAGACTAGCCTTGGGAGTGGTCTGAGAGCATTGCTGTCATGATAGACAACTAGAGAGGGATCTAAAGGAGACAAATCTTCCATCCTATTGGGATCCAGTGATTAAAAGAGATGGGAGTATATCAGCAGGGTCCTCCTCTGATAGGCCTTTGCTCTTTGATAAAAACAGGGATGAAGGTGGGTTGACTCAGGGCAGCATTACCAAGATCACAAGGGATGACTGAGCTTTTACCTTCGACTTAGAACTACCAGTGGTGTGGAGGTAGAGTTTTTAGGTATAAAGGCGAAAATAAGGTTAGATATGGAAAACCAAGTGGAGGTTCTGATAATGTAATTTAAAAAACCAAAATTTTATGTACTGTGGTACTTTTAAAATGTCATAACCTTTATTTTGCAAACCCTAAGTCTCTGATTTTTAACATAACACCAAATTTTTGTTATGGCCAAATGTATATAGATGTTTAAATTTGCAGGTGAATCTTTTTTTGTTGTTGTAATTGGACACAATACCTTTATTCCATTCATTTATTTTTATGTGGTGTTGAAGATCRAACCCAGGGCCCACGAGCTATACCGCTGAGCCACAATCCCAGCCCTGCAGTTGAATCTTTGTATGTTTGTGTTCAATTATACAATAAAAACAATTAGGGAAAACAATGAGGGCGGGTCCCAGGTGGAATTCTGTCCCTGCTGGGCTGCTGCTGTGCCATGGAATTCAGTGCAGACTACCTCCAGGAAAATTGCAGTAGGACCTGGAGTCAGAGCACGAGGAGGTGGAGGACATGGCTCTGAGAGGTCGCATCACAATCCCTGGTGGTATCTGCTAAGTTCAAGGGGACGCCACCGCTTCAAAGACATCAGCTGGTGAATGGATTTCTAGCAAAGGAGCTCCTGCATGTTTATGCCTATGAGCAGAAAATCTTGACTCTAGACCAGTGGTCCCATGAGCAGTGGAAATGAGGGATTGAGTCCTATGCAGCCATTAAATGATGAATCAAGACAAAATAAAAATAATCCACAAGTTATCCTCATGCTCACTTTTGAAGATCTGAAAATCAGTATAGATGGCCCCTGAYCACTTTTTGGCTTTACAGTAGTGCAAAAGTGATACCATACTTTGAATTTTTCCAGGCTGGTTGTATGCAATATATTCTCTTAGGATTCTGGAAAGGCTGGGCAGTGGCAGTCAGTGAGCCACAGCTCCCAGTCAGCCATGTGATCACAAAGGTAAACAAACAAATGATATTCTACAATGCACTTTGTTGCTAAGCTAGGATGCTCAGTAAGTTAGGTATAGTAAATGCATTTTCAGCTTAAATGGTATTTTCAACAATACAGTGGTACTTTTGAAACATTTAAAAGCCCTTGGTATTTAAAACTGGTAAGTGATTTTACCTTATTGTATACAATGTATCTTTCTTTAGACAAATTTGTTATAATAAAATACTTGCAATTTTTATGAGAACTACAATCTAAAAGCATATAAAGGTAGGTGATTTGCAGTTATAGCTCCTGATTGCAGTGCTACATCCAGTTAGTGCTAGTTCCCCTTAAGCTGTGCCCCACATGCCCAATAATGCTTTGATGTTGCAGTTTAAGGTCACAGTGAACCATATGAAAAACCCTGATACAATAGTTTTCTAGTAGTGGCATGTACTACCTGAGCAGGGTATAAACCAAAGGTTTTAATAGAAATGGCCAAGATTTTGCCCCACCTTGATCCCATGTTTTCCTTAAGTATATTGTCTGCTGATCTTTTCTATCAAATATCTTTCTGTGACCATTTTTTCTTACCTCCTTTTTCCAAATAACAAGTATCTTGATGTGCTGCTTTCTGGTGACCCTACTTCCCAGAGGTCACCTACACCTTTCTTATAGGTCATCTTCCCATGGCCACCTGTAACAATCTTTTTTTTTTTTTTAAAGAGAGAGGAGGAGAGAGAGGGGGAGAGAGAGAGAGAGAATATTTTTTAATATTTATTTTTCAGTTTTTGGTGGACACAACATCTTTATTTTATGTGGTGCTGAGGATCGAACCCAGCGCCCCGCGCATGCCAGGCGAGCGCGTTACCACTTGAGCCACATCGCCAGCCCCTGTAACAATCCTTGACTTGCAGCCTGTGTCATATTTATCACATGACCAGTTAACATCTCTTACTTAAGATCTACTCGAACTATATCTGATATGGTGATATTTTATGAGTCTTTGAGTGTCAAATGAGGTATAATTTAAAGACATGAGTACTTTTGATTGGTTACTCCCTGATATTCTTATGTTTTTGTTGGTCTTCAAAACATACCATGATTTATAACTGTAATAAGAATGTTTATAGATAACTACATGTCTTTTCTAGAATTTGATGGTTCTGTCAAGTGGACTTGGTGGTTCAATCAGGGTGGCCTCTAGAAAGAAGTTCAGAATATTCATTTAAAAGTTTGCCTTTGATTTTATACTTCTCTATATCCTCAAAGGTATATTGCTTTTTAGTTATTTTCCTTGATAAGTCATAGAAATGTTTAAGAGGAAAATCTAGTATAATTATTATACTATAGGCCACTGACAGGGGCCTAGTGCTACTGGGGAAAGATTTTATGGTGAGAAATGTTTGAAGGGCTACTGAAAATGTGGCCATTTTAAGATTTATGACCAATTTTTAAAAATCTAACAATTCAGGGAGACAGCTTGTAGAATTACACACCAAGTTCTTCCAGTTTCATGAATTCATCCTCTCTATAGAACAAATGGAAGCTCAATTCTCTGGCTTCATCCAGATATGCAATTTAAAGAGATCTCTATGCCAACGGGATCCCTACAGCTTTTCCTGTCAACTACGAACATCACACTGGCACCCTGTGTACCATGTATTCTCCTACACTCAGCACTTTCCTCCTCCTTTCTCTCTTATCCTCGTCACACATAACTGAGGTGTCAGGACTAATGTGAAAACGGGGCCCAAGCCAAGAGATTACATTATTCACAACCCTATAATACCTGGGATAATTATTTGAAAGTGAGAGTCGGTGCACCTGCTTTCTCTTAAGAGCTAATGTTGGATCTCTGATGTCACATGTATGGATTCCCTCTTCGAGAAGGCCAAGTTTATGACTTCAAGTAAATATGGCCCATATTTGGTGGCTTCTACACTGTCATGATAGTTTTAGAAGTATATTTGGTTCTCTTTTACCTTTTTTTATTCTTAAAATTTTAAAATTTTTATTTTTTATGTTACTAGGGAATTGAACCCCAGGACACTTTACCACTGAGCTACATTCCTAACCCTTTTGATTTTATTTTATTTTGGGACAGAGTTTTGCTAAGTTACTGAGGGTATCACTGAGTTTCTGAGACTGGCATTGAACTTGTGATCCTTCTGCCTCAGCCTCCTGAGTTGCTGCGATTATAGGTGTGCACCACTGCACCTGGCTCACTTTTTAATGTTTTTAACAAAACATTTAAGGAAAATGTATTATTCCTAAGTTCATCTGTTCAAGTTTCTTGTTTTTCTTTCTCTTTTATTGTTTTTCTCTTTGAGGTAGAATTTTTATGTGTATTTATTACTATTATGACAAATGGTCATTGAAAACAGTACCTTGCAGTAAGAAAACCATTTTTCCCCCAGTAAAATCCTGTAGTTTTAATGAGATAGAACTGATTATGTTTAGTGTTTCTGTGACAAGCTGGTTGAAAATGTATAGCCTCTATTTTCAATAACATCAATAATTTATACCGAGAGCATGCCAATCTGAGTTCTATTTTTATGGAGAAATACTTTGAAATATCTTGGGCACAGATTGTATATATCTCTTGGAGTTGGTTTAGTGGATAAAATGTATCTAAATTTTAAATAAAGGATATCTTATTAACTTGTCTTGTTATACTAATAAATCTTTAAAATTTTCTCCTATGGGAATAGCAATAATAGCACATTTTAAGTGTTTCATTTAAAAAGAAATGCATGATACTCAAGAAAAATAAAACCCAGAAAAAAAGAAAGGAAAGAAGGAAGATGGAGCTGTAGTCCTGTCATCTAGGCCCATTATTGGTTAACCTTTGAATTGGAGTATTTTCTCTCTCAGGTTTTTATTTTATATTTTTAATCTGGATACAAATTTGAGGACGTTTTTTAAAAAAAATGTACATGTAGTTCAAATCAAACTATTTTT